AGTGTCAGAGACATCTGGTCCATCAGCTGCAGTGACAGGGACATCAGGAACATCAGGAGCCGTGACGGGATCTTCTGAACTATCAGGTGAAGTGACAAGGACTACGGGACAATCATCAATAATGACAGGGACAGGGGGATCATCAACTGGAGTGTCAGGGACATCTGGACCATCAGTTAGAGTAACAAGGTCTTCTGGACTGTCATCAGGAGTCACAGAGACATCTGGAACTACAGCTGTAGTTTCAGGGACATTTGGACCTTCAGCTGAGGTGACAGGTATATCTGTATTATCAGCTGCAGTGACAAGGACTTCTGGACAATCATCATCAGCAGCAATGACATCAGGAAAATCATCAGGTGTGGCAGGGACATCTGACCTCTCAGCTGGTGGGTTAGGGACATCTCGGGTAACTGCTGGAGTGACAGAAACTTCTGGACAATCATCAGTTATCATGGGTTCTACTGGACCATCAGTTAGAGCAACAAGGTCTTCTGGACTGTCATCAGGAGTCACAGAGACATCTGGAACTACAGCTGTAGTTTCAGGGACATTTGGACCTTCAGCTGAGGTGACAGGTATATCTGTATTATCAGCTGCAGTGACAAGGACTTCTGGACAATCATCATCAGCAGCAATGACATCAGGAAAATCATCAGGTGTGGCAGGGACATCTGACCTCTCAGCTGGTGGGTTAGGGACATCTCGGGTAACTGCTGGAGTGACAGAAACTTCTGGACAATCATCAGTTATCATGGGTTCTACTGGACCATCAGTTGGAGCTACAGGGAAATCTGGAATATCTATTTTAGAATCAGGGTCGACAACTGTACCATCAGCTAGGGAATCAGGAACAACTGAGCCATCAGCTCGAGTGACAGTGACAACTGGACTATTTTCTGTAGGATCTGGTACGATTAGATCATCTGCAGGAGAAATAGGTACAACTGGATCATCTGTTGAAGGAGCAGGAACAACTAGACCATCTGTTGTAGAATTAGGGTCAACTGTACTGTCAGCTGGAGCATCAAGTGCAACTAGACCATCAGCTGCAGAATCAGGGATTACTGTACCATCTGCTGGAGTGTCACGGACAATTGTACAATTAGTTGGAGTGACAAGGACAACTGTGTCATCATCTGGAGGATCAAGGACCACTGGACCATCAGGTGGCACAACCGCTGGGCCAGGAAGAACTATTGGAGAACCAGGAAGTGAAGTTCCAGCATCCGAAGGCAAGTCAACCTAACCAAATATAGACCATTTGATGTAGCTAACTTAATGTTTGGTCACACTCTCAGTACTTGAATCTGTGTATGTTTATCGCAATTAAATAGCGTGTTAAGAACTCAAATTGGTGAATAATGATGGGAGCTTTCTAGAACATTATTGTTTTAATTTGATTCTTCAGACTTCTTGATAAGTTTATATTTTCAATATGTTCCTTTTCAAAATTTTCAACCTGATACGACCAGAAGGTCAGTGAGGGCTATCACAGGTGCAGGCAGGGGAAGCACCACCGGAGTACCAGACTCTGAGACCACTATTGCTGGGAACCATCAGGCAGGTGCATCTGGGCGCTCTGGTCATGGTTCAATACAAGTGTGGCTGAGACTCAAATTATGATAATAAAGTTAAATAATTTAACCAAGAACATAAATTTTGAGCGAAATTATTAAGAGATGATCAAGATTTATCAACATCCAAATTTGAAATTTACTTAAATGGCAGTGAGTTTATTATTTTTCCTAAAATGAACCAAGAGAATAATCAATTATTCCTTTAACTGCTGACAGCTGAAGAATTATATGGAACCAACACTGGAGCTGGCAAAAGCACAACCAGGTTAACCACATCTGGAAAATCAGGCAAGTGGGAAGGGAAGTTATTGGCCCAGATTACAGCTCAACATAAGTTTTCCTGATAAATCTAGTAATTTTAATCAGTGTATGGTTAGTAAGGAAATCAGAAAATCAGACCTAAATCATCTAGCATTTAGGACCTTATTATTATTAGTTTTTGGTGCTTTAGGACTATAGTGGAAAAATTAGAAATGATCTGTCTTCACAGTGGTGATTCCATCAGATGATAAATCTTAAATGAAGAAGTTAAGACAAAGTAAGAAAAAAATATTAAGTACTAACTGGACAGCCAGCCACTGTTCTAAGTCATGTAACATATAATTAATTTTCACAGCAACCAATGTGATAGGTGTTATTTTTGTCCACATTTTCAATGAGTAAGTCAAGGAGAAGTTTAGTTAGCAGAGGCTGGCATCAGTCTCTATTCCTTGCCTGCTACACCGTCCTCCCTCCTATGGCAGGGGGTGTAACGAGGGCAGAAAGAAATAGAGTCCCTGGATGGGAAATCCCAATGGAGCCTCAGATACACCAAATTCAACCTCTCAAAGAAAATCAGATACATAAAAGGCTACCACACCAGACTATATATTAGGACAAAGTTTAAAAAGTTCTATAATAACAGGCGTGTCCCAAATTTACCATTTTGTTATAATTTGTTTAATTATTTTTATTTGCCAACTATGAACCAGCCAATAGAATTATGGGTACAGAGGTGAAAAAATCTGACAAGGATCCTGCTTTCAGGGGGTCTTGTGGACTGGGGGATTTATCCCCTAAGAAAAAACTACCTGAATAAACTTAATTACAATTAAATGCTAAGAGTAGGGTGTTAGGAAAGTGGCATTTTATCTGGTATCCCAAAGAGTGAGGAGGCACTGGTCAGATACAGAGGGTAGGGTACAGAGGGAAATGGAAAGATAGCTGTAGTGGAAGTCACAAGATCTTGGAGAGTTCAAGATAGAAGGAGGCCAGGGTGCTCGGTGCCCAGTGGTGCCCAGTTCAGAAGCTGGTTAGTGGTAGAACACAAGCCTGCAGACGTAGGGAGGGACCTGATCATGCAGAACCTCGCAGCATAAGTTCAGCATTTTAGACTTGCTCCTAAGAACTAAGGGAGGCTACCAAAAGGTGTGAGACAGAAGAGTGACAGGATTAGGTTCATTTTTTGGGGGGGGGGGGGCTTTTTTTTTTTTTTTTTAATTTTTTTT